GCGCGGGCGTGCTCCGAGGCTTTGCTCCCCATCTCCCTGGTCTGCTGGTTGGGAGACGGGGAGCAAAGCCGCGGAACACGCCCGCAGGGGGACAGCTCAAGCGCGCCCCGGCTGTCCCGCTGCGGGCGTGCTCCAATGCTTTGCTCCCCGTCTCCCTGCAGACCAGGGAGACGGGGAGCAGCTTTTCTCACCCCGGAGGACGGGGGTGGCGGACCGCGGTGCATCTGGGCGTCCCGCCGCTCCCGTCCTCCGGGGCGAGAAAAGCCCCGTTCGTAACTGCGGATCCGACATAAGTCGGATCCGCGTAACTCGGGGACTGCCTGTACTGTAAAAGTAAAACGTAAAAGGCTGGGCAGAGAAATGTGGGAAAGAAGCTAGGTTTGTTTTTACCTATCTACTGAGGAAGGTATTTGGCATTGCTAATGTGTGCGTTAAAAATTACCTGAGATTTTGGTTTTCAGGTTTCAACTGGAATACACAAGGAATTAATGAATTACACATTATAACATGTTCAAGCCACAATTGTAGCTTAAGCAAACAAAAAAAATTAATGGAAAATATAGACTGAACTATGAATGCTCACACAATTCACGTTCAGTAAGAAAGCATAGGTATGCTGGTGGTATAAGAGAGAACACTAACTTAGTGCAAAACTAATAGTGCATGGCTCGCAATGAAAATAAACTGGTTATTCATTTTCCTACTTATAAATCTAGTTGGTAAATTATTGTGTAATTACAGGTTGAAATTGTGGCTTGTTACTGACCTGTAAATCTCTCTGATTTGAATCACTGTATGTTATGGGCCAGATTCTGAGTTGGTGTGAAATGCTATAGTTCTGTTGAAGTTAATGTAGCTATGCCCACTGGCTCAGCACCTGATTACTCAAAATAGTCAGATTGTTCATTGTCTCACTTACTCATACAATTTCACTTAAAACTTGTTAATTTAACAGAAGCAAAGTCCTAATGAAGACAGCGTTAAGACCATATATTTGGCTACATAGACAAGGGAAAAACGTGTCTCTAGAATATACCTGGAAATTGCAATCTTTGATGAACCTTGAGTCTGACAGTGCTTAAAGGGGATATGGATGGAGGTCGACTGAAGTTTCACGACCTTTGTAAGATGACGGATGAGAGAAAGTTGCATATTTTCTGTAGATTGCATATTAAGGGCAGGATACAAGGTGTTGAGATTTTGCTCCAAAATATGAAGGTTGATGGAAAGTATTGTGAAGAATCAGCCTTAGCTCACCAAACTATCTTTTTCTGGCCCTTTTGCCTAAAGCAAAAAAATATCTGAGAGTAGATCAAATAAGAGCGAGGTGAATATTTTACTGATTCTTATTTTTGACAATGGAGATCACAATCTCAAGGTAAGAATTCTAGCTACAGGTAGTTTGGATAGATGGGTTAGTAAGACAGCAGCAGAGAAGGGTAGTTGAATGGAAGGAGAACTTTGCCATATTTCCTTTAAAAAATAGTAAAGCCTGATGAAATGTACAGTGACATTTGGCCCGGGTGATTGGTTTGAATTTTTGAAAGTCACCTCTTCAAGCAAAAAGATCAAAGACATACCCACAAGTATGAGCGTGACGGGAGGATCCAGGCAAGCTGGGAACTGCATCCAGCCCTCAAGCCTTAAGTTCCCCACCACTGCGCTTGACAACACAACTATCCCTATGCACAAGTCCTCACTGAGCCAGAATAATTACTGTTTAGAACTTCACAGAGCACACTGGTTTGGAATGGATCAAAAAGAGAAAAATATTTTAAATCCTAAATTAAAATTTTAAAGTGACTTGTCAAAATCACTTTTAAGTTTCAAAACGAAAAGTCTCCCCAGGTTTCAGATCAACAGCCAGAAAATTCTGACCAAATCCTGCTAACACACTGCAGCAAAAATACACAAAGTGACACCTTTCCTCTAGGTCTTTGTGTCCAGGTGATGGGAATTAAAGCCAGCACTCTGATTGCTCAAACACCAATTAACTCTTCCCCCCCACCCTCGCAGTAGAACTCACTGTCTCTCATTAGCGAATTAGAATACTAACACTGGAAGGTCAAGTCCAGTCCCCTGCTCTCACGGCAGGAGCAAGCACCATCTACAAGGAGAGGTAGGCTATGAGTGAGAACCAAGAAGGATCTCTGTGTGGAGACATCTCTTCTTTCTTCTCTCCTTAGCAGAGGAGGAATTGATGTTGTAAAGACCATGGTGAATGGGGCCAAGTAAGAGCAAAGTAAATAAACTACATGGTAGTATTTAACAGTCTGTGTAGACAGAGCAGAAGTCAGGTGTGGGACCTTGCCCTGTTAATCTCCCAGAGAATGCCTACACTACACTAAAATACCCTTGACCCACGAGTGCTGATTGAGGCTTGCGGGGCTGCAGGCTATGAAATTGCTATGTAAACATTCAAGCTTGGTGGTCGTGTGGGCTCTGGGACACTTTGCACCCACAGGGTCCCAGAGGCTGGGTTCCAGCCCAAACCAAAACATATGCACGACAATTTTATAGCCTTGCAAGCTGAATGAGCTGACATGGGCTAGCCACAGGTATTTTAGTGCAGTATTGACATACAGGCAGTCCCCGGGTTACGTACAAGATAGGGACTGTAGGTTTGTTCTTAAGTTGAATCTGTATGTAAGTCGGAACTGGCATCCAGATTCAGCCGCTG